CCGCACTATAACATGTATGGTTCCTGGTAAAAAACCAACTCTACAACTGAGGAAAAGGGAAGGAGGCAAAGTGGTTGATCCTGTTTCTTCCCTTTATGAATGGTTGCAACAAAAGACAGTTCGGATACAGGGTTTCCCACTTATTTTACAGCTACTAGCGTACCAGTCAATACCGCATCTTCTCTCAAGAGTCCCTAAATGCAAAGATATGACAAGTCTGTTGAAAACAGTAGCAACAGAACTTCCACATCAAACCGTGCTAAATTTGAACCATGTGTGGGTCGCTGAAAATGATAAAAGTGTAAGCTTCATTTCCTTTAGTATTTAGCATTTTTACTCATGTTATCAATGTTAGCTGTATCTGACTTGACTCGATTTGTGTAGCTTATTGTTGAACCGATGATGCAACTGGACACCAATCGTGGCGATCTTTGGGAGGATGAGGTCAGGACTAAGAAAACTGCGTATTTGGTACAATTGGTGAGGGATGGTTATAATTTTAAGAAGGAGATATGGCCTGGTGGCGATAATTCTCTTCCTCTACATATCTACAAGCCTAGGAATCCTGGCAAGGTAAAGCGTACTTTGTTACGTAAGAAGAAGAACAACAATGGTAAGGGAAAGGATGTGCTATCGCCAACCAGATGTCGTAGCCAATCTAAGAAATATAGCTCCAACGTAAATTGGAGGAGTTCTTATCTACTCCACAAACGAGTAATGATGACCTGAGAATCCAGTTCCAACAGTTTGTAACGTCCACTACTCTGACTATTAAGGAACTGGAAAGACGTCTGGCCAAGCTTGAACGTTGTTCCAGATCTCGGCAATCTTTTGGAGTGGGTAAATTTTCATCGCAGCGAGTTAGGATGTCTCATCGGAAAAAGAAGACAGAGCCAAAGACTCCATCCATTTCAACTGCTATTTAATCACAATCGACGAAAAGGTCCAGCAAGCCTGCTTCTGTAGAACCAATAGTAGATGAGGCTTTTGGAAATGCTACCTTTCATGATGATTGGGATAGATATGGTCCTACACATCAGATTGTTTCTGAAATTAACTTAGGAAAAGATGAGGTACCAGAACTGTGTTACATCTAAGGCTTTTTAGAGTTTTTCTTTGTTTATCTAATCTCATATTCGTGTTCAGGTCTGTTCACATAAAAATGGACAACATTCAGAGAATTCAAATGAAGGCAGAGGAATACCGAGTGAAATGTTTGATGAGGTGTACACTGTTTTTATAATTAAATTAGCAAACTAACTTTAGGCTTGATTTTTTTTTGCTTAACTCTTCCTTTTCAGTTGCAGGCCGATAATGTGACACCCATGGCTGTGGTTGAAACTGATGTCGTGGATACGTTACCTGCTTACGATTACGAATGCGTTATGGTTTCAACTCCAGATGGTAAAATATTTGTTGAACAACATGCTGAAAACTCTACACGATTTACGGATACTGTAGTTGATTTTATGGTGAAGAGTTCTACATTGGTTGATGTTGCACCAGGTGTGGACACAAGGGAAGAGGTTAGTTACTGAATGAGAAATAAGTAAAAGTACACAAGGTTTACAAGTATAATTTAGCAGTCTTCAGTAGTCTCATATGCAGGCACAAGAACCACACCCAATTGTATCTGAGAATTCAACCAAAGATGATGCTTTCCAAATCGAGAAGGTATGATGTACATGTTGTGTATAGATCTATGAATCAAATGTTACATCTTAGGGTTTATATTCTAGACATTTACTTGCAATTGTTTGCATCTGACAGTTGAGAACATGTTCCCCAAATGCGGTAATGGAATCACACTGTGTCTTTGAAGTTTTACCGAGCGATGTGTTGAAACCAGACCAGA